GAAGCCCGAGGCAGAGTTGCTCTGCCCCGGGCTTCCTGGAATCAGCTGCTGATCAGTTTCAGCAGCAGCTAACTTGGGGACGCTTGGGGTTCTTAAGCTGAATCTGTATGTAAGTCAGAACTGGTGGTCAGTTTCAGCAGCAGCTGAATCTGGACGCCAGTTCCGACTTACATACAGATTCAACTTAAGAACAAACCTACAGTCCCTATCTTGTACGTAACCCGGGGACTGCCTGTATTTCAAATTTAACACTACTGCCCTATTATGTCCTGTGAGTTTTTCAAATTTAAACTGAACTGAGAAGTAAATTAGCACAATTTGAAGTGCCCATCCCAGACTGCAAATATGAGAGATTCAAAAACAATAAGGGACAGACTCATATCTCAGAATTATTGCTTCATCCTGGCAAACAATAGCCTTTGAATTTTCTTTAAAAAAATACAGTCTACACCAGGTACATGATGATTCTTTTTTTGCCCTGGAATTTAAATATGACATCTTTGTTGGCTGCCTTATTCTGCATCCATATCCTCCTCCCTTGCCTGTTCTAAGCATCTATTTGTCCCCAGAAGGATTACCAAAACGAATCAAGTGGCTTGCAAAGCTGGCCTTTATGCTATCCTTAGGATTTCTTAAACTTTGCACTTTCAAAGGTACATGTAATATTCTTACACATATAATCCATGCAGGACTAACAAGTGTATTGCTCTTTGGCTGACTGAAGTACAAGTGCATGTTTATTAGCAATATTGGTATGCCACGGTTACCCTTGACTGGCTGGTGTACTTAGATATAAAACTGGATAATTTCCTTTTCCTTTTTTATCTTTAAAGCTGATGTTATATGAGTCATCCCTGCAATAGTGTGTTAGGCTATCACATAGAGATATTTGGGATGAGTTTTGAGGCCAAGGTCAAAAGACTTTAATTTCAGAAGAGCTAATGAAATGTAGTTGCATTTCATTCTTGAGTTGTCTTCAAAAAGACTTTAAATTATAAGCACTGAATTGAGCAGGTATATAATCTTTATAATGGTACTGCTTGCAAACTTTGTTGCACTTACCCTATTGAAAATTATCTGTTATTAGCATGTAGCCATTAACATTGATAAGGCCAGACTTATTGGTTAATCCTAACAACTACATGCACACTCCCATTGCTGCCTTTGGGTAAGAGGCAGCAGGGGGCGGGGCAGGAGTTGGTGCCTATGGGGAGGTGGCTTTTAAGCTGGTTCTCGACCCGTACTGGCTCCCACGTCGTCGCTTCCCTTCGGTATTTGCTGCCTCCTACAGAGGCAGCAGCATGGGGCGGGGAGGTGGGAGCAGTGCTCTGGGGTAGCCAGCTGCCCCCTCAGTGTGCTTCTGCCTCTGAAAGGCAGCAGCATGGGAGTAGAGGGGGGCAGGCAAAGACGGTACATGCAGAAAGCTGACTCTATGTGCATACAGGTCCCCGCAGAGCTGTCTGCCCCCCTTCTCCTTGCTGCTGCCACCCACAGAGACAGCAGCTGGGGGGTTCAGGCAGGAGATGATACGCATGGGGAGCTGACTTTCAAGCTGTCTCCCCATGCATATTGACTCCCATGGAGCTACTGCTCCCCTCCCCCTTGGTGCCTCTTTATTAGAGGTGGGGGAGCAAATGCAAGCCCTAGCTTCTGCCCCCAGTGTGTAAACTTGTAATGACTAAAATTTCAAGTGGTTACACGTTTGCTCAAAAAAATATAGCTAACATCCCTAATGTTCAGTTAGTAGTTATCTGACTGCAAAATTGAAGATTATCTGTCTCAGAAATTTTAGCACAACTATTTCTCAACTGAAGATATTCTCTCTTAACACAGTTTAGTTCAGCTGTTAGTTAAACTTCAAGTATAAACAATAAATTATGAATACAGTAGCATTGAAATAACCTGATAAAATAGAGTAAAAAAATTTTCTGCCTTGCCACTCTTGACTGTGTACTTATTTGCTGTTTGCGAATTATTTTTTGGAGATGACCAAAGTGTGCGCCATTTTTGGAGGATCCCGAGGAATTGGAAAGGCTGTTGCACAACTGTTGACATGGAAAGGATATCATTTAGCTATTATTGCTAGAAATCTGGAAGTAGCTCAAACCACTGTCAGTCATCTTGGTGGTATGTATATTGTTTTATTATTATTTATGTACAGTCTACTGTTTACATACATTACTCTTATCAGTTATCTAAACTGAGGGTGTACAAAACGCAAGTGAAAATTAGAGCATCTATTTGAGAATTAAGGCATATACGACAAAGCAGGTGGAAGAAGTATCTGAAATAGTGTGAATAATGGCCTAGGCTTGCTCTCGTAATTGTCGAGAGGAAAGTTCTCTCAAACTTCACTGGAAGCAAGATGGTCTTTTTTGGTTTTAAAATTGTGTATTATTTCAAATGAATATCCAGTGAATTGTGTGTATTAATTGTAAAATGCACTTAAATTATTTTTTAGCACAATTGTGTGCATTGCTGATTTTAAACTATAGGCCATGAAATCCAGGGCCTGACACTGGCAGGTTTTGTGCTAACTGAAAAAGGGTATTTTCAGTTAGGAGAAGTGTGTCAATTCCCAATAGTATTCAAGAAGCAGCTGTTCTTTCTGAGATTTTATATTTTATATTTCATTTGCATTTAAGAGCAGTTCATACATCTTTTTACTCCTCCCCTTCTCTCCCCCCCCCCCCCCCCCCCCCCCCTGCCTCTATCATGCAGATGAGATAACTGAGATTAAGGCAGTCATCCATTGTCATGTGAGTTGGTGACAGAAATGGCATTAAAACTTGGCTTCCAGCCAGTTCAGATCTCAAACTGCTCTAGACGACATTGATTCCCAACTTGAAAAGGGCAAAAAAACACAAACAGAAAAAGTTGTAATTAATCAGAACACTTCTTGAAAATTTTCCTCCATTTAAGTCTCCTTTGAGGTGGAACAGATTTCTTAAGTTAGAACTAGTCCAGCATCTCTTTTTACTATAATTTTACTATTTATATTTACTGTTACCCTTACAGCAGGTCATATGGCACTTAGCTGTGATGTATCCATGGAACAAGAGGTCCAAAATACACTTGAAGAGGTGGAGAAAAATTTAGGTCACGTTAATTACTTGGTTAATGCTGCTGGTGTCAACAGGTTAGTTTTACACTTAAATATGAGTAAATATGAATCATTCTTATTGAATGGTACTAAATATGATGAAGAGTAACTGCAAAATTAAATAGTGATAGAAATGTAGCCGTGTTAGTCTGGTGTAGCTGAAGCAAAATACAGGACTATGTAGCACTTTAAAGACTAACAAGATGGTTTATTAGATTCCACTATTTGATCTGAGGATGTGGGTCTGGCCCACGAAAGCTCATAATCTAATAAACCATCTTGTTAGTCTTTAAAGTGCTACATAGTCCTGTATTTTGCAAAATTAAACACATTATTAATGCCTTTACAAATTAATTTAAATCTATCTGAACTATTTAGTGTTGTTACAGCCAGAACAATAGATGCAAAACCTGAAGGCATACCTTTACTGCTATGATGATCAATATCCACCCACAATATATTTTTCAAGATCCATGGATCTTGACTTGCCAGTTGTAATGTGTGATATACTTAATCCAGTGCACTAACGATCCCAGTAACAACTGTGAACGTGAAACAAGGCTATCATTATGCCCTCAAATGAACTCTCCCAGAAAAATAAGACACAAACACCATATGTGAGTGAATGCTTTTCACAAGGCCATATTCTCTGTATAAGCTTTCATTTCTCATTCCCAAAAGAAACCTGCACAACACTTTCAAAAGATGAGACTAGGAACATAAATTGATAACGTTGCTAGACACTAAAAACCATGCATTGAATAAAGACACTGGATTTATATCTTATAGTTAGTACAACGATCTGTAACCCTTTGCCCTTCCCCCATGGCTGGAGAGATGCAAAGGGTGGCCCTGTTTCTTCTTGACTAGTCCCTTGAAATGTGCTGACTACTATGCTAAACAATTCCACCTTCTGTTTAATTGCTCTGAGGCGTTTGATCTGGAGAAGGCAATTTAAAAGGACCAGTTGGGGCTGCACTGTTGAACACTCTCAGCCGGCTTACTATGCAGCCACAGTGGCTTGGCCCCACTCCTGGAAGGGGGGACAGAAGCAGCCTCTCTGCAGTTGCGGAGGCACAGGCCCTGTTGTCTGGCTGCAAGAGGAGCTGGTGGCAGTCATGCTCTGACCTTGCTCTTCCAGTGGCCTAACCCCAGCTGCAATTTAGCCCCCATCTGCCGTGGTAGGTGCTGATGGTGATCCTGCTCCTGCTGTGGCGGAGAAAGAGGTGGAATTGGCCCCTGCCCTGTTGCAGCTGTGGTGGCCCAGCTGTGGCCCCAATCCTGGGGCAGGTCCTGCAGGCTGGTTCACATGTGGCCATGAAGCTCCCCCCTGCCATGGTGCGGGGGGGGGGGAGGGGAGAGAAGGGGGGCAGAATTAGCATGTCTGGCTGCGACCTCCTGGGCCATGCAGTCTGGTCCCCTTCTGCCGTGGGAGGGGCTGGCAGTGGCCCCATCTGGTTGCAATGGCCCAGCACCAGCCTGGGTAGGAGGACAGGCCATGGCAGCCCAGTCCGAGTCTCCCATCACTCTCCCTCCCCTTACCCTGCTGCATGCAAACTCCACCACATACCCCATCCACCTGCCATGAGCCTCTTATACACCCCAACCCTGATTCCTGTACTTCGCTCCTCCAAATACGCAACCCCCCTGTTCTAAGCCCCTCATACAGCCTTGACACCTGCATTCTCCACCATGTCCCTGATCCTCTGCCCTGACTTCTGCACCTGTCCACATTCCGACTCCTGCCCTGAGCCCCTCATACACTCCAACTCTGATTCTTGCACCCCCCTACACTCCCAGCTCTCATCCTGCCTCCTGCACCACCCACACTCTAACCTCTTGTCTTGAGCCCCTCATATACTCCAGTCCTGCTCCAGCACCCCGCACACCCCAGTCCTCTGCCCTGAGCCCCCCACACTCCACCCTGCCCTTAAATTTCTTACAGGTACCATGGTACTGCACCCTCCTGCCTGAGGCACCCCCCCAAGTGGAGGGGCAAGTTGTGATAGGCCTGTACCTGAAAGAAATTTAATTTACTTTCATCCCTGTCCACTTTTGAGTTAAATGCCCTAGCTGAGTCAGCTGATTTGAAAACTTGGGCTGTAGGTCTTTAAAATTGCGGTGTGGACTAGGAATGTAAAGGGTTAACCAGTAAGAATTAGCCTTCCTGGCATGCTTACTGGGATAACTGGTTAACCAGCAGCCTGGCCCAGTCTGAGCAGCCCCTGCCTGTGACACAGCGGGCCAGGCTTGGCCCAAGCAGCCCTTTTCTGCAGGATCCTGGTTTTTAAACTGGATTTTATATCCCTAGTATAGACATTAGGGCTCAGTCTGGAGCTTGAGCTTGAATATGTCTACCACAATTTCTAGCCTTGTGAGCTTCAGTTAGCTGACATGGACCAGTTGTGGATGTCTAATTGTAAAGAGGATGTATGTTCTAAGTTCATTTCCCAAACTTGCAGAACAGCTCTGTAAGTTTGAAGGCTTATCTTTCTCACCAACAGAAATTGGTTCAGTAAAAACATATTACTTCAGCCACCTTGTCTTTTGTGTTGTACTCACAGATACATTATTTTCAGTGGAAGTAAAACTCCAGTACAAATATAAATATTTTTCTCCTGACTCTCGATGGCCAAAAATAAAATTAGAAATTAGTGTTTGACAGTCCTCTCAGCTAATATATTTGACTGCTTGTAATATACTATCAGCAGAATGGCAGATATTGGCCTTATGTTTTATTAATGTGCATAATTTTCAGAGTTATCAAGAACAGTGCTAGTAATTTGGATCAAATTCTTCCCCCAGGAGAAGTGAATTTGACCAGGGATCACTTAAACCAATTTTTCAGGTTGTTTTTTTTTTTTTAATGGCAGGGATGGCTTGTTGCTGAGAACCACATCTGAAGATATGGTGTCCCAAATTAATACTAACCTTCTAGGAACAATGTTGACATGCAAAGCTGCTGTAAAGTGTATGCTTAAACACCAGGGAGGTGCTATTGTTAACATAGGTAAGTATCTACTTTTAGCAAGTTGAAGATACTTAATTATATTTAAAATTCCTTAGAAATTTTATGTTAAAAGTTATTCTTCTAAAAACATTTAGAAAGAATCCAAAATGTAGGAAATCCCTAATGTAATAGGGTTAACTAGGGATGTAAGTGACTAATTGATTAGTCGACTAGTTTCTCCCCTCTCTTCCCCCCCCCACCCCGCTTGCTGCTTCTGTCACCATGTTCCCCCTAGCTACAGCTCTGTGGAAGGGGACAGGGGTGCAGCGGTGGGCAACTTTGAAATGTATAAGAGTCCCCGCTGAGGGTCTTGTACAGTTCAAAGCAGAAGCTCTGCAAGAAGCCTGGGGCTCCACTTAATGTTTCTGTCTTTAAAATGCACAAGAGCCCCTGCTAGGGCTCTTGTACATTTCAAAGGTGAAACACAGAAGTTCTTCTCGACTAATCAAATACTCGATAGAAATCCCATTGACTATTCGAATAGTTAATCGAAATTTAACATTCCTAGGATTAATTCTTTATAATTGAGTTTAGTTTACTTGTAGAGGGCCATAATCAAATAATAAAAAAAAAAAAATCTCCTTTCTAAAAATATGGTGCCTATTGTGCTCCAAGCCTGAAATCTTCAAATGATTAGACAGTTGCACCCTAATTGCAAGATGACAACCAAAGATGCCTACAACTGAAATAACCCCAACCCACTGGTATTCCCGCTAAGATTTTCCATTCATGAGTGGAATGAATTTTGTCTTTTGTGCACCTATATTGAAGTCATGTGCGCTTGTTTGGATGTGTGCCACCATAGCACCCAAGTTATTAACAAATAAATAATGTTATGGAAGAAAGAATACTAAAACAAGGGATAATTAACAAGGTGCATGACTTCAAATGTTTGTTATGAAGTCAAATAAAAATAAAATCAATACTGCAAGATTTTCAGTAACCAACTTTCCATGTTTATAGCTCTTGTGGGGATGGCCCAGGCTGGGCTAAGGCTGGTTGGATATGTCACAGGCAGGGGGAACCTCACTGAGCACTTGTGACGTGGTTCTGGGGCCTCAGTCCCTCCCAGTTCTGGAGCTAGAGGTGTGGGATAGATGCAGGCATCCTGCCTTAGCTCTTCCCTCCTTGGAAGCAGGAAGCCCTCAAGCAGGAGTCATGGAGGCACCCAGCACAGTGGCCAGGCCTGAGGTAGATCCTATTGCATCCCAAGCCCAGAAGCTACAAGCGTGGAAGGGGGTCTCTAGCCTGGCTGGGGGGGGCTCATAGGGTCACAACAAGTGTTGTAAGTAGGGTGGCCAGTTGGGTCCCCACCATGCAGTGAGCTCCTCTCAAAGGGGCATTCATACTCTGGGGCAGGGGCTAGGTTGGCCTCTATCTGTGGCACTTTTTCAGTGTGTGCTTGGTTAATGGCTGGGCTGAGACCTGCCAAACTCATTTCATGCAGCCATTGGGGCTTCATTGAGCCAGAGTCAAGACCCCCCCTCTCCCAGCATGACCCTGTCCTATCTGGCTCCCTAGTGATGGGAGCTCTGTGTGTAGGTCTGAAGCTAGGTCCACGCCGTGTGGTGACTTCCTAGCTGCTCCTGCTACATGGCTCCAGCCTAATCCTGACTCTAGCTGCTCTGCTCCCTGCCCACCATGTGGCCCAAGCCTCCTGCCCACCACGCAACTGCACAGTTTTGCTTAGGAGGTGGGTGGGGTAGAAATATCCTCGGCACTCCCGCGCAAGTGCGCACGTTTGAGGGAACTATGCACCCCACCCACATTTTTTCTAGTATATTTACCTGTCACTTTTGATAGCATTTGGTGTAAAGCTAGTTTGTCTGTATCCTCTGGAGAGAGTGGTAGATTTTCTGATTTATGAAAGACAACATGTTAAAGAATTAGAAAAATATTTTTTTTAAAATCCTAACAAATGGCAAGAGGGTACAAATGTAGGTGTAATACTTTAAATTACTTTTAATTTTATTAAAAGAGACTAGTTTACAAATTTACAGTTCCCCCTAAAGCTTTTTTTGATTGTGATTGATTTTTTTTTAATTCCAAGTCCTACAAACCCTTACACATGGAAGTACTTTATGCAGATCTTTATTCTCATTAAATTCATTGCTACTATTTTCTTAGCCTTTCTCTTGTGAACACATTGTTCCTTTTTTAAACTTTTTCAGCAACCTCCAAATGTAAACATAGCTCATGTCAGTGGGAAAGGCCTTAAAAACCTTTGGTCTGCATTTCATTATGCTTTATAAGCTTCCTGTAATGTCTGCCAATTATAGCAAGTGTTATTCTTAATTAAAATCAAAATACAGAAAAGCATAGCTCTTTTTCTGCCTTGGAGTGTATTCAGGGAGCTTTGCCACATACTTACTATAATTTTCTGATGCATAATTTTATGAATTGCACATAATAGATAGTTGAGAGGTCTGAGTTCTGTGATAAGTTAATATGCAGGTCGCAACGTTATTTTCATTACCTTCTTTATAGTTGTAACTGTCTACAAAAATTAGAACCAAAATCTTCCCTTAAATATATGCAATTTACAAATGGGAACTCTACATGCATTCTGAGCTCTCATTGCTGTTATTTAAAAAGGATAGTGTTATTTAAAACTGTTATTAAAAGGATTGTGGTTAAAAGTTCTGACTTCTGTAAAGCTGTTGTAAAAGATTTTGCTTCAATTTGCCTTGTGTTGCTTTTTTAGGAAGTGTTGTTGGACTCAAGGGCAATTCTGGTCAGAGTGTATACAGTGCCAGCAAAGCAGGATTAGTTGGATTTTCACGCTCTCTTGCTAAAGAAGTAGCAAGAAGGAAAATTCGAGTCAACATGGTGGCTCCAGGTTAGTTCGTGATTTAAGACACTAAATCTCTGTACAGCATTTATGATTTACTTCTGTTATGGATCAGCAAGGTTGCAACAAAGGAGCACTTGCCCTGTCCACAGGGCTCCTCCCATTCCCAAAGCCAGGCCAGCCCTGGCTCCCCCTCCCCCTTGCTGCTCTAGCCCCAGCTTTACTCCCCACGCCCCCTTCCCAGCCACCCCAAGCCCTTTCCCAGCTACCCCAAGCCCTGTGCTCTCCCCCTCCAGGCCTGGGTCCTTGTCCCTCCCCCACCTGGCTACCAAGGGGGAGTGGGGGACAAAGCCCAGGCCCTGCACTCTCTCTGGTCCCCTTGCCCTTCCTCCCCCCCATCTGCCAAGAGGGAGGGTCAGGCTCAGGCCCCATCCCTCGGGGCTGATAGCCATCCCACTGGCCACCGGGAGGGAGAGGGGGTGAAGCCCACAATTTGAAACTCTGGCAGCCACCATGTGGTGAGATGCTCCAGTCCCCCAATCCTGTGCCGCTGCCCCCCCACAGCAGGCCTCTCCCTTGGCTCCCTTGCCCCTCTGCTACAGGCCTTGCCACATCTCCCACCCCCCACCGGAGCAGCGCAATTTAAACTCTATCAACTGCCAACCATGTGGCAGTAGCCAGAGATACAGCCAGCCCTGACTCAGGACGGTGTGTGCCCCAGTCCGGTCCCCCCCCTGCAGTGGTCCTCGCCGCTGGCCCCCCCATCACTGCCCCACAAGTTTCCTCCCAACCCCCTCACCTCAAGCCCACCAGAAGCAGCTTACTTTCAGTGCTGCTGCTGCTCGGAGCCATAGTTGCCAATGCCTGCTGGGCTAGTGGAAGGGAGGAGGTGGGGCGGCTCAGGGGGGAGGGACTGTGGGATGCAGAGTGACCTGGGGACGTCGCTCTGTCATCCCGCAGGAAAAGTGTTTTCTATAATATATAGAGAGAACCTTAGACAAATTTATCTTATTACTCAGCTCATTTTTGCATATGAATGGGCTTAAAGAAATAAACGTGTATTCCTTCTTGAGTGTCTAATTTAGTTTGCTTACCATTATCATCTCTGTGTGGAAAAGGAAATTTAAGAAATGCTGTGTGAGGAGGAATTTCTCTTTTATAGGGGATTATTTTCTACATATTTATTGTCTAGATCTGGTTCTGATTTTATTACTAGTTTTCCTTAATATTTCAGACTTTTGGTGGACAAAAGAAAATAAATGAGGGAGTGCATATTTTACTGCAGGTTAGACCTGTCTGGTCCAGCACCCTTAGGACCTGACTAAGGGAAATTGCCGGACCAGGGGAGGTCAACTCCAGCCCCATGGCTGATGGATTCCAGGCTCTCCATCAGCAGATCCTGCTGGGCTCTCCACCTCGCTGCTGCTGGGGTGCCAGGACAGACGGAACTTCACTGCCCTGGGGCCAGCCCCGGGCTTCCAGTTCCCTGGTCTAGCACCATCTGTGGTCAGGGAGAGTCCTGGACTAGGGAGTAAGGATTAGTTGAGTCACTATTTGACTAGTCGCACCCCCTCCCCAACTGTGCTGCCTCTGTATGGGTGGTGGGAGACAGAGGAGGTAGAGATGCAGCAGGGAACCTGCACAAATGGGGACCAACTAGCTGTGGGTAGTTCTTGTACATTTCAAAGGAAGATGTGCAGCAGGATAGTGAGAGTCCCACTTATCCACTAAGTCAATGGAAAGTCCATCGACTACTTGATAAGCCGATTAATCAAAATTTAACATAGCTATACTAGACCAGAGAGTGTCAACCTGTATCTCCTAATGGGGCTCTTTCTTCAGTTTCTTAAAGTACTGTATAGTTGTTTGTGGAAGAAAGAGTCATTTAAAATTGTTGAACGCTAAGTAATTTTATTATAAATTACTGAAAATGTTTAGAGAAACCAGAAATACTAAGCTAGCTCTTGCTAATTGCTGTTGCCAGCCCCAAGGTGGAATTCTTCACATACCTTTGGGTAACACCATAATTGAGATCAGGCAAAATAATCCAGTTATTGATCATGGCTATTTCCTTAAAGGATAAGAAAACATTAAACAAAGCAACACAACTGACAGATCCCATTAAATAAACCGGTTACCTAACAGGCTGTAATTGGTAATTGAATAGTAGATTAACTTATCAATTCTTATAGTTTAATTGACTATTCTATAGTCCCCGGGCAGCCCCTCTCTGGAGAGGAAGAGGTCTGAGCTTCTGGACCTGGCACAAGCTGGAAATGAGCGAGGCAGCCTGCCTATCTGGCTCCTAATACGCTTTAAATGCAGATCCACAGCGGGGGTAGGTCCAGGACCCAGTGCAAGCTGGGACTAAGCTGGGCTGCTGGCCAGCCTGCTAAAAAATTTACTGGCAAGGGGTGGAAGGGAAATATGAATAGTCTATAGCATTAACATATAAACTTTGCTTATCGGTTAATCGACTATATTATTACATCCCTAGTTAGAATAGTAATTTTCATGTTGGTATATGAATTTTTTACTATTTGAATTTTTTACTATTTACCTAGCGGTGGTGTGAGAGTATTGCATTTAGCTAATGTATTTGCCAAAATGCAATTCACAAAAGGGATCTACCAATTCAACTTTTCCGAAATAAACAAAAGGTTTAAAACATGTCCAGATGCATGTGTTTTTCCTCAAAGATATTCTGAATAAAATGTTTATAGTAACTATAAAAATTAATTTAAGTTGTGTTTACTTAGAGATTTTCATGGGAGAGTGAAATAGCCCACTTTATCAAAACTATAAAAAGTAGAGATAGGTACTTTTGGAGGAATTATGTGCCTAAAATTCTGCGTGCAATAGTTTAAAATTCTGCATATTTTATCAAAATAACACTGTCATACCACTTTCAATTATTTTGCTAATTTATTTCAAAATACCTGTCAGTAAATATGTCTGCAACAATACAGACCAAAACGTTTCAGGAAATGTTTTTTAACTAATAGACTGCTTACGAGGCATATTAATACAGAACTGTGAGTATTTCGTTTAACATTACAGAGCTGTATTTCTCCACATCTCAGAAGCAGTTGAAAGGCTTGGCGGGGTCAGGGGTAACATAGGAGCGGAGAGAGAGGGAAGTAATTACTGGAAAGGAACTTGGGTGTGAACTTTGAAGGTGTTGCGTGTGGGAGGGAAAAATATAGAACACTTATTTGGGGGGTGAGAGAGGATTGTTAGGGAGCTTCCCCATGCAGACTTAATATTTAATACTAAATAGGGATGTGAACAGGTAACTGATTACCTGGTAAGTATCACCCTTAAAGGATGATGCTTACCAGGTAATGGTAAACTTTTACCTGGGAGCAGCTGTCCACTTGTGGCCTGCTGTGGTGTGTGGGCTGCTTTAGCCCCACTGCTGCTAGCTCCCAGTCCACATGAGCTAGGAGTCCACAGTCTTGCATCAGGGTGCGGAGAGCTGTTGGCTCCCCATGAGGCTGGAGCAGCTCCTGCCTGCGGTGTGGGGGCTGCTCCAGCTCAGCTGTGGCAGGCCAGGGGTCTGTTCCAGCCCATCAGGCTAAAACAGCCCCCTTGCTTACCCCCGTTGAATCAGGCAACAGGTGAAACTTAACATTTAACCAGTTAACTAAATTAAACGGGATTTTACATCCCTAATACTAAATCTTATTAGAATTCTATTAATATATTTGAATCCATATTGAGATTTGGCCACCAATATTGCTAAAATGGGATCCCTTGTTCTTGTCTGAGATTGATTTTAAGATGCTCACTGTTGATCCTGAGGGTAATCTTGGGTCAGAGATGTTTTTCACAGTGCTGTTGCTCATACAAAAGTGTTGATTGATTGATACAGTACATTTGGTTTAATAGCAATTATGATATTAGCAACTTCTGGTTGATAACAATGAGTCCCATTCCAGTAACATCAGTGTTGGTGGGATTTAGGTTTTGGCAATAGCATGTTGCTTATTTTCAACATTTTTGGAGGAAAGGCCCCACCTGCAGGCAGATTTACAAGGTTGCAGCTAGGGAAGGATGTGCTTTATCACATGCCTTCCCTGACTGCAGCCCTGCAAACTTGCTTTCTGCTTATTAGTAATAGTAGCTCCCAGGTATTAGCCAATTTTGCTGATAGCCAAAGTGGTGGTGGTAATCAGAGTATGTTGTATCTAATGATCTACTACATCATTACTCTTGGCTAACAGGTCTGTGGTAGCACTGTCACCATTGTTACTACCAGTGGTAAACCAATGGACAGAAAAGGCTTGGGCCATGTTTTACTAATAATTTGACAACACTTGAAATAGCAAATAGTCAGGTAGCATATAAGCTAATTAAAATGTGAAATTATGTATCTCATATGTTTATACTTATAATAGCTTACAATAGTAGTTGATATTGGAGCATTGGGTATTAAACAAATGCTAATGTGTGTTAAAAAACAATAAGACTGGTAATACAGTAATTTCTATGGGCAATTTTGGCCACCACTGTGGTCCAAGTAAAGCTCGTACATAGCAACGACTGAAATTTCTTTTATAGATGGACAGTATTGACAAGGAAACTCTTTGCTGTTCTGTTTTGGACAAATTTCATAGGATACCTAAGTCTCTTCCTTTCCCAGACTGCATAAGAAATGGGCAGAAAAGTCTTGTGGTTTAACAACTTCTCTTATCAGCTCAAATACTGCAGCAGTTCAAAAACTGAATATCTGGATTTGTCCTTATGTGAGCATCTAATTTGAATCCTTCCAATGAAAACAAATGTCTGACAGCATTATATACGTTCAGTTCTGATACCCATCAAGCTTGAATGGAAAACAGAAATAACCCACATATTCTAGGAGTTCATCTGCACCAGGCTCGTTTTCTATTCAGTAAATATTGAATTTTGGTGTATATTTCTAGTTGCAGAAACATAGATATCTGCTTTTCTTTCCATATGTCCTTCTGTTTAGAGGGGACTATCTTGACTACAGCATCAGTTTAAAGGGCCATCCTGAAATATTGATATTGGTTTTTCTACTT